GGACCCACTGACACCCACAGCCCTGTCTGAGATTCCAGTTGTCTGCATGTTTCCCAGCATTTGTTCTTTTTTTTCTTAAATATTTCATTTATTATTTCTTTTTAGAGAGGGAGGTGAGAAAGAGAGGGAGAGAAACATCAGTGTGTGGTTGCCTCTCACACACCACCAACTGGGGACCTGGCCCACAACCCAGGCATGTGCCCTGACTGGGAATCAAACCGGCGACCCTTTGGTTCACAGGCCAGCTCTCCTTTCGCTGAGCTACACCAGCCAGGGCCCAGTATGTGTTCTTATTTAACATTTTTACCTTTTGCCAACCTGGCGAGCTTAAATGAGTAGCTCATTTAGGTAAAAACTTTACACTGTCTGATTATTAACAAGGGCAAAACCATGCATAATTCATTCTATAAAATTGGGTAAATATTTCTCCAAGCATGCACCACTTGATTTTGTTCATCTCTGCATGTTTGATGTGTTTCAAAATCCCACATTTTTGGAGACCAAGCTTGACTGTTTCTGCCAGTAGAGGTCACTGTTCCCCAGCAATTCTTACCAGAGTTTTTTTTTTTTTTGGACACACACACACACACACACACACACACACACACACACCCCCAAGCCTCCACCTCGGCCCCTGGAATATTCGGCAATGACATTGTTTTCACAAGGTGGGTATGCTGCTGGCACCCAGAGGTTAGAGACCGGGATTCTGTTAAACCCTGACATGCAGAGGACCGCACCCAACAAAAGCAAGGATTTAGCCGGCCCCAAATCTTAACAGTGCCAAGGTGGAGAAACTGTAGCGTGGAGGAAATCCTATTGTATGTATCTTTAAAGAAAGACTGAGAATCTCCATGATAATAACGATGTCTGTAATTGCTGTTTAACATAAGAACACACTCATAAGTGTAGAAAGTGGGCAAATGGGGGAGAGATGCCTCCCTGAGGAGCGTGCTCTGGGAAAAGGCAGGAGCAGGGGTGGATGGGAGGCAGGCAAAGGTTTGATCACAGCAGTGATTCTGCACATGGGAGCTGCCAGCTGAGGCTGGGGGAGGGTGTGGGGCTCAGCAGACCTGCCAGCAGGGGCCGTGGGAGGGGGCCTGGGGATGGGCGTGACTCACGCAGGCCTAGAGCAGGACTCTCCAGGCCAAAAGAACCATGGGTTGGAGCCTCAGGACCTTGACTGACAGGACACAGTGGTGACCTTAGGCTGAGGCTGTGACTGTGTGGCCTGGGCTGGTGGTGTCCTTGCATCAGGGTGGGCTGCAGACAGGGAAGGCTCAGGGAGGGTGGTGGCAGTGTCCTCCTCTGGATGCTGTTGCTCCAGGAGCAGAGGCCCAGGCCTGGGCACAAGGGAAACGATCACCCCTTTCTCTAGATGGCTTCAAGGCAGTTGGCTTGTGCCCTGGACTCTGCCTCATTCTCTTGGTGTCCAGGGTCTCAAACCAGAGTGGTCTGAACTGCTTTTGCCTTTCTTGGGTTGGCTGGGAGCCTTCAGCATGGTCTCCTTGGTGTAGGGGTCAGGGTGATCTTGGGTGTGTGCGCACGTGTAGAAGCTCTCTCTGTACTGAGCAGAGCAATTTTGATGGTCACCGGGCTCTGGGTGCATAGGGGGTGGTGGTGGGCATTGCAAAGCCACTGCTTCATGATACTCCTCTGATGACTTGGAAAACACAGCCCCACGGGGGTCTGACCTACTGGCCGGCTGGGAAAGCGCCTCCAAGCTTCGGGCATCACCTCCTTCCAGACTCTGGTTTAGTAGCAGCTGGGCGGTATGATGGGTGGGGCTTGGGTCTGGACCCAGAGGTTCCAGTGGGCACCTAGGAGCCTGGGCGCTGGTCCCTGCTGCCCGGACTGTGGGAAAGGGAGTGCTGGGGCAGTGGGCGTGGCGCAGCATGGTATTGGCTGTGCTTTGGTACCTGCTCAGGTAGCTGCCCATGATCGTGGTGCCGTGCTGTTGGGGGTCTTTCAGAGGCGATTCAACTCTCAGACGTTCCTCCTAGTTGGAGGTTTGAAGCAGGTAGGGCTAGGCTGATCATTGGAATGGGGCCCTAAGGGTAGTGCGCGGGGTGACGGCATATGGGCACCCTCTGTGCGCAGGGTCCTGCACATGCCAGGACAGTGCCCCCCCTCCATACAATGGAAACTCGTGGAACCCCCCTGCTGTCTGAGGCTGGGGAACCTCCAGCTTCCCACTGCTGGCCCCAGGCGCTTGGCTCTGGGCAGGGGGGCTAAGAGGCCTCAGCTCTGGTATTTGACATTTAGAGAGAGAAAATATAATGGTTACTACCTGGTTCTGGGTATGGAAAATTGACAGGACACTTTCATTATTGTAAAAATGAACATAATGTACTCGAATGCTCTTTTAAGGAAAAACAATGGATTTACATTTACTAATAAAGGGGATTTGTGTATCATTCTTCTAAAACGGCTGCTAATGTCACTGTTTGCAATTTTGCTCTTAAGGAAGTGGTGAAATTCATTCAGGATTTTATGATCTAGTACTGACCATGTCGATCTAATGTGGACTCACATAATTTTCAGGTTCATAGGCAGATTGTGTTTTCTCTGAACACTGAGGCCATTTCTACTGGAAATGTTGGACTAGAATGAAGCACATTTTCCACTGGAGTTGAAAATATCCCCCCAAGTTCAACAACAAAGTATCCAAAGGCTCTTGGGAACTGGTTATAGTGCTTTGGTTTGGCGGTTGCTTCAAGGGGGTGTAAATCATCCCGTTCTTGTGAAAATTTCCCTTCAAGGCTCATGCAGAAGGCACCCCCATGCTGGGATGTGAGGTAGAAAGTAAAAGCCCACAATCAACCAAATCTAAGAATGGGCAACAGATTGCACCCAGACCCAAGAGGTGAACCGCTGAATGGCAAGAACACTGAACAGATGTTAATGAGGGAGAACCAGGTTTCTGAGGTCTGAGATGGGCCAATCTTCTTGACACAGGGGAGGGTGGCCAGCTGGTAGGTACTGGGGAAGAGATCCCTAGCACTAAACTGAAGAATTTACTACTTAGTTTTACCAATTCCTTAATTAAGCAATGATTTCTAGATATGATTTTGAAAATAAAAGTTCCTTTTTCTTCTTAAGACATTTTACATGATAGAATGACTCTTCATAGATATCTACCATATTTTTAAAGGTGATAATAGCATCAGGTTGAATGGCCTAATATCATTCAGTATGGACTTCTTATATATTTTTTTCCAATGTCGACAGAATTTCCCACATCCTGTCCACAATATAACCTAGTGGGTGTTGTTCTGATTTGAGGCTAATGACCCTCTTGACAAACCATTCTTCTGCTGGTGAGCTACAAGCATGGGTGAGTGAATCACCCATATGCTTTTACTGGTAAATCAACATGTCGATTAGTTAAAACCCATTTTCATGGCTATTGATGATGTCTGTTTCTTCTCATGCCAAGACATATGGATTTCATTAGTCAGTGGATATTGGAAATTAGCATATTATGACTGGTAAGTTTGCAGTGGACATTAAAGATATTTTTGTCACTACTTAGGGGTACTGCTGGCATCCAGTGGGTGGAGGCCAGGGATGCTGCGAAACATACTACCACAGGACAGCCCCCACAACATAACCATTGTTAAATTTATGGAGAATAAACAATTCCTGGAGAATAACATAAGGGGACAGGCATTAAAGATGCCTTTATGATGTCTTCCTATTTAATAACATGGTATGAATTCTATTAGTTGAAGTTCATTGTGTCCCTTAGGAATGTTTTCCAGTTTTATTGTTGACATTTTGTTAAGTTCACTCCAAGGTATTTTAATTTTTTAGGTTCTATTATAAGTAGGGCTCTTTCTTATATCTTTTCATTGTGATTTTTATATGTCAAAGGAGTTGACCTCTATAAATTAATGTGACTCCACTGTTTCTGTAATTTCCTTTATCTATTTTTGTCTAGCTTTACTGGCTACTACTGGGATTTAATTCAATACTTAAAATGCTAAAAATACTGGAATGAGTGGCTACCCTTCCCATACTAGGCATACTATTTACTTTTGAGCTGAGATTAATATACTTTATGAAGTTAAGAAATTCTCCTTTCATTTGTTTTATTAAAATTAAAAAGAAACAGATGATGAATTTTGTCAAATGTTTTAGGAATCTACAGAAATGAAAATACGAGTTTTCCCTTTAGATCTGCTGAGGGGATGAAGTATATTGATCATAACTGTATCATTCCGAATACTGAACCATTTGCAATACTGAAAAAAACCCTACATTTGGAGCAAGTATATATTTCTTCTGATGTATTCTGGCTTCTGTTCCTAATATTTGATTTAACTTTCTTTTTTCCCCTAAATATTCTTGGGAGATATTAGCCTACTGTTTACTTTCTTTGGGGGGGGTCCCCAGTATTTGGTAGGTTTTGATTTCAATGTTACACTGCCTTCAAAAAAAAAGAATTGGGAATCTTGTTCTTGTAAAAAAATGTAATGAATAAAAACTCAATATAAACACATAAAAATAGTTATTGTAGCTCAGTTTATTAAACAGGATTTTGTGTGTTGATGTAGTGATCACCAGTTAAACTTAGTTTCTAAAGGACAAACAAATAGCAAGTCCAAACTCCTAATTTACAATAAAATTTCTACATAGGCATTGTGGGGTTCTGTCTTTGAGATTCCATAGTAAAATTCCCTTAAGGAAATTAAAAGCTTTTAAACATTTTTTTTATCCTCACCCAAGAACATGCCCATTGATTTTAGACAGGGGTAAGAGAGGGACAGAGAGAGGAAGAGAAACATCCACTGGTTGCATGTCACACGCCCTGACCCTGAAACCAAACCTACAATCCAGGTATGTGCCCTGACTGGGAATCAAACCCATGTTCTCTAGGTTTACAGGATGACATTCTAAACCAAATGAGGCACACCAGCCAGGGCAGTTTTAAACATTTAAAAAACACTTTAAAATATTTTTTTTATTTATTGCTTTTAGAGAGAGAGGTTGATTCTTGTATGTGCCCTGACCAGGGATGGAACTTGCTACCTTGGCCTATCAGGACAATACTATCCAACTGAGCTCCCCAGCCAGGGTGAAATGGAAAGGTTTTAAAACAGCTGCTTTTGTCCTTCACTTTTTACATTTATTATTACTATTATTATTATTTTATCTTCACCTGAGGGCATATTTTGATTGCTTTTCGGAGAGGAAGGGAGAGAAACATCAGTGCGAGAGAGAAGCATCGACAGGTTGCCTCCCATACCTGCCCGCACCAGGAACCACACCTGCAACCTAGTTATGTGCCCTGACCAGGAATTGAACACAAAACCTTTCAGCTACAGGACGATGCTCCAACCAACTGAGCCATACCAGCCAGGGCCAGTTTTTTTCATTTAAAAGAGTCTTAACTTTATTATAGAGATTCCACCCAATGCATATACAGTAAAATAAATATCATTGTCAAGAATGAAAGCAAAAAGCTTATGTTCTATGTTTTAACTTCTCTGGTTAACTGAAGCATTTCCTACTTCATACCCAAATTAGACGAGAAGTTAGCACCTTTTACAATAAATGTATAACCATTGTAAGATGCTAAGAATGGATCTCAAAGTCTGAGCCTAGCCTTGTTCTGAAGGGGCAAATTAGAATATTCATATGAGGAAATGTAAAGAATGTACCTGATCATAATGCTTTTTTAAAAAGTATGTATTTTTTTTTTAGACAGAGGGGAAAGGAGGGAGAAAGAGAAACTTCAACGTGCAGTTGCCTCTCATGCACCCTTAACTGGGGACCTGGCCTGCAACCCAAGCATGTGCCCTGACTGGGAATCGAACTGGTGACCCTTTGGTTCACAGGCTGGTGCTCATTCCACTGAGCCACACCAGCCAGGGGTACAGGCTGCTTCTTAATGATCCAAGTGACAGATTCAGAGAGTGGTGGGGTTGTCAAGGATCCCGAGTAGGTCCAGTAATCCGGGCAGGTGGGCATCAGGCAGGCAGGGTCAAATGACCCAAATTCTACCAGGGCGTCCTGGCCAAGAGAAGGGGTCACGGAGCTATTATGTCATGGTGAAAACCACCAGGAAGGAGATGATGAGGCAATGATGCTAGCAGTGTCTGGGGACCAGCAGTGGTCCAGAGGGGCTCCTTGGGCCCTCTGGGCACCTTAGGGCCAAATCAGGGCCAGGCCTTGTTCCTGTGATTAGCTGTGTATTTGTGACACTCCTCGGTGGGAACACAGCAGAGCCCGTGTCCTCCCTCCATTCTAGTGGGTTTCCAGTGGGTGGTCGGGAGGCATTGCATGGTGGCTGGTGCATAAATAAGGTGGCTTGTTTTTTCAAGAGTCTAGTAGAGTCCTCTCCCTTTGTAAAATGCAATGCAAGTTAGGAGGAGCCAGGACCCTGGACTCCAAAGGGAGGGAGAGAGAGGGAAGGAAAAAGGAGGAGATGGAGGGGAAGGGAGAAGGAAAGAATTAGAGAGTATATGGACTTCCAGGGAGTGGCCCCTTTGGTATTCAGAATATTGAACAGTGGGTCTTGGGGCTGGACAAAGGCACCCATCTGGAAGGATACAGGTGAGTGTTCTTTAAAGGTGGACAAACCAAGTTTTAGTCCAATTTTTCTCTGCTTTGTGCCTGAGGGAGGGTAGAGTTAAGGAGGCTGTTCTGAGGGTCTCCGCAAGGACTGAGAAGAAGCAGGTGTCAGGAGCAGAGGAGGGGACTCCATCATATTCCTGAGTCCCAGAGTGCTCAGTGGCACAGCAGCAAAACCAGAGTGGCCAGTGCCCACCAGCGGAATCCACTGAGGTGAGTAACATCTCCCAACACAAAGGGCCTTGCTAGCATCCCTAGTCTGAGATTGAAACATAAACATAATGCAAGTAACTTACAAAAAAAAAATATTACCTTGTCCTTAATTGAGGAACAGTATACTCCAATCTTTGTAGCTCTTTATGTTTGTATAGCTAAAGGACAATAAATGAGAAAACATTAAAACAACCGACATTTCACTGTCATACAATTGTAATAGAATGCTAATTAAAATCAGATACCTGATGACTAGCTAAAAACAGTCCCCAGTACTGAAACTGCACCTAAATGGACAATTTAGGATGTGATAAACATCACTGAAGGAAAGCAAATACAAAACAAATGAGCAGGCTGTTTGCTGACAGGTGAAATGCACTTCCCTGTTTCGGTCAGATTTTGCCAGTATTTATCTTCAGCCACAATTCACGTTTACTGTTTCAGCTGTGAGTGGTGCTAGCCTTTTGCATGGTATGTGTACACAGGCACAGGAATGGAGCCCTTGTCCCATTTTGGCCTTTAGGTGAATTTCAGTCCAGTACTGAGTTTACAGTTTTTGAGTAAAGGAGAAGAGCCCTGGAAAGCTGCAGATTTTCATTTCCAAATAGTCAAGAGCAGTGAAGCTCTTTACCAGGGCCAGGAAGGGAGGGAGGGTGGGTGGGGTGAACTTTGGTTCACTGTAGATGCCAAGGAAGGCTCAGTACAGGAAACTTTCTGAAGCTTCAGGGGCAGATTATGGGTAGGGTATGGGGCAGCTTCCCATCAGAGATTTCTGACTTTTCCTCATATTCCAACAATTTTAAATTAAATTGCAAGACTTTCAAATTGCACAGTGGAGATGACCAGATTGCAAGTAAAGGAAGAAGGGAAAGCAGAAAGCAACGTGGTTTTCACTGACAGAAAATAAATCCTACCCAAATTAAAGTGTACACAACTTCGTTATCTCCCCATACTTCTCAAGGTTTCTCAGCAAAATTGAACGAGGGGAATTACACTTATTAAAACAAGTTTCCAGTAGCTTCAAAGCAGTAGCTTTTAACTCACGCCACAAAGGATCACAGGCACCAACAAAGTTTCCATGTTGTAGGTTCTTCCCCTTCAGCTCCCGAGACGGGGTATAAAAGAAAAAGAAAAGAAGAATTGAGAAGTAGAGAAGGCTCAGAGTTGTCCAAATGACACAGCTATGCTACTGCCCTTCCGCCCTGGGGATGGCTGTGAATCTCTCTGTACCCCCTTCCTTACACAGGGGAAAGATCAACAATGCAGGTCTGAGTGAGTCCAGCTTGAGGCGCCTCGGTTTCTGGAACTGCAACGCCCACAGCTCCCAAATGCTCTGGAACAGCTGTTCCACTTTTAAATGGACAAACGCCAAGGGGGTGTACCTGTTCAGTGACACTCAGCGTGGAGGAACAGGACTAGAGTAGGAAAGAAACGATTACCTGCCTCCTCCCCAATATTATTCCCAAGTCCCGTCGGAATGTGGCCATCCTAGCGAGGTCAACAGGGGCCCCGACTCCAGGACGCATCGCAGAGCGTGGTAGAATATGTGGAAGGGTCCCTGAGCTCTCTAGCAAGCTAGGCTCTCTTGCTGCCCACGCTGCACATCCCCGTGGAAACTTACCCGAACCTTTTTCTGAGCGCAAACCCCCGCCCACACCACTGGAAAGAGAAGGTCCTGCGCGCGGCCATCTTGGCCCGCCCCCTAGCGTTCCACCACGCCCCTCACGCCGATTACGTCACCTCGCGTATTCACGTTACGCAGTCCCCCGCCCCCGCTCCGGTCTCGCTTCCTGGTTAGGTCGCTCCGAGCTTCTCCAGCGGTTGCGCGCTTGCGCGCTAACTTGGCCGCGCCCCTGCCTTCCGCCTGGGTCCAACCCTGCTTCCAGCCGGACGAACCTCGTGACGCCTCTGTGACGGAGAAAGCTACGCCCCACGGCAGGAGCGCGCCCTCACATTCAAAGTGCGTCCTTGCTCCCCGCCTACAACCACGCCCCTCCCTGTGACGTCCTTCGTGTCCGGTACGCTACCCCTTGGCTCCGCCTCTTCATCCGTGTTTCCGTACCAGCTCTGAATCTTTTCACCTCCCAGCTACTCCCTCGGGCCACCCTCGTTTTACTGACTCCACATCTCTCCCTTGTGCTCTAGTTCCTGCTTTTAACTCAGAAAATTTCTCTGCCTGAGCTTACCCCTCCCACCATCTCCACCAACTGTGTCTTACTGGCGGCCACGCCCTTTAAGGCTTACAGTCCCACTTTTTTCGGCCTTGCCCCTGGGCCCCGCCTAGGCCACGCCCCTACTGGCAGGGCGGTCGCCCGCGCTCCTTCCCACGGTTCCAGGTCCCGCCCCTCCAGTCCGGTGGGCGTTCCTTCCCTTCTGTCCTGGCCAATCCCGAGGTTCTGCCTTGATACCCGTCAAGACTCATTGGTCTGGCTCACTGCGCTCCTTGCTTATTTTTCCGCATTAGGTCGTGGCCGCCCCCTGGGTTCCCAGGCCACTCACTTTCGGTTCCTTGCGGACCAAGTCCACGCCTCTCGCTCGGCCTCCGCTGGGGATATTTGGTCCTAGCAAGCAGCGGAGGAGTGGGCGGGGCCCACGAGTTTCCTAAGAAAACCATCCAGGTCTCAGACCTGGACGTCAGCGGCACGTGTATAATGAAACCAGCCTGCGGGTTCTAGATCTTCGTCTAATAATTCACTTGTCTTCATATTTCTCCCAGCTCCAAACACCACAGCTATGAGGAGAATCTGGATAGGAAACATAACTGGGAACGTACTGGAACTGTGTTCCTACCAGTCCCTCAGCTGACATTTAGCACGGAGTAAGCACGCTCCAATACTTCTTGCTGTGTTCTTAAAATGACTTCCTAGGCACCTAGTGCCCTCCTGTTGTCTAGGCCTGTGGCGACAATGTCATACTTAGGCTTCTGCCTATGATCTCCTGCCCCGAGATTACTCCTCTTTACCTCCTTCATTTACAATTCTGGGCCCACACGAAAAAAGTGAAGCGGTTATTAACGGCTTCCCGCCCCCCCCCTTCTTTTTCTGTCCTGAAATCTCTGAACCGGCACTCCTGGGGGCAGAGGCACTCCCGTGGGCAGGGCACTTTCCATTAGCCATTCAGCTATTCCCTATTCGTTTAGGGGCACTTTCCATTAGCCATTCGGCTATTGGTTTACATTGCATTTATGGGGTACTATGCTCCAGTGACAGGAAAACCATTAGGAGCTTACAGCCTAAAGTTACCCCCACTCGAGTTTGGATGGGACAAGAATTGATGAGACAGTTAAAGAAGTTGTGGTACAGAAGGGTTGGTTAATAGATGGAAAAAAACTTGGTAAGTGCCTTTTTTTTAAATTGAGGGAAAATGGACATATAACATTAGTTTCAGGTGTACAACATAATGATTCAGTACTTGTGTACATGTCAAAATGATCACATAAAGTCTAGTTCATATATATCATTATTCATAGTTACAGATTCTTTTTTCTTGTGATGAGAACTTTTAAGATTAAATCTCCTAGTAACTTTCAAATCTACAATACAGTGTAATTAACCATAGTTGCTGTGCTGTACAAAACATCATGTGGCTTATTTATTTTATAACTAGAATTAGCTTTTGACCTCCTTCACCCATTTTACCCCCACCCCTCACCCTGCCTCTGGCAACCCACCAATCTGTTCTGTGTCCATGAGTTTTTCTTTTTTTGCTTTTGTTAGTGTTTTCTAGATTCCACATATAAGTGAGATCTTACGTTATTTGCCTCTGTCTTATTTCTGTGAGCATACTACCCTCCAGGTCCATGTTTGTTTGTTTTTGAGAAGCACAGTTTTTTTTGTATGACTTATAGTGAAATCCTGATTCTTTATCATGATACTGTGCATGAAGCAGGAACACAGTACTGTAAGAAGTTTTATGTAGCTATCTGCCATGTAAACTGTTGCCACAATCACAAAGCACCCGCACTCCCTTTGCATTTGAGATCACAGGCTTTATTTGGGACAGCATTTAGATCACCATTCCCCATGATGGCAACTAAGTCTCAACTCACATGTCATCTGGTTTAATCACTGCCTGTGGAAGATTTGTGGCTGAGTCCACAGTGAGAAGGAAAAAGTTCTATAATAGAGTAACAAGGTCTGTGGTGGGTGCAGGATGGACGAGTGGCTACAACATCCTATCTGACATTTCAGATTTGTAGCAATAGAGGTCTAGCATGCATGTCTTTTAGTCAGTCCTCAAAAACAACTTTTCTTAACTGTAAGCTTTTGATGATTTTCAGACAATAGAACGACGAAGGTCATTATTGCTGGCCAGAGCTTAAGGGCAGAAACTTTGATATGTTGATTCATTCATATGCTTTGTATATCAACTGGAACGAGGTTAGTTTAAGATTCTGTTATGAAAACAAGAGCATCTAACCTAAAAGATACATGGCCCGATGGCCCCTCCACCTCTTTATAGAGGTTGGCAAAGGAAGTACCTACAGGCAAGGCTAACCGCAGCTGGGCCACACTAACTGTCAACCAAATAGATGATCAAGGATGACAAATGCTACTCTACAGAGCATGGCTGCAATAATTTTAGCCTAGAAGAAAATCGTGTCTTACCAAAACCATGAGAATACTCTTTGTGTAACAATCAAGCGACACTGGAAAGAGTTAAACATCTAGGAAGAAATGTCAGTAAACTCTTGCTTTTACTACATGGGACTCATTTTAATGTGTTGGTCTTCACACACAAGATGAAGCATGCAGACAGGCACACATGCATTCTATATAAGACAGTCTCCTTTAAATTCCTACTTTAAGAATGTTAAGTTGGCAGGATTACACTCACTCAGTTTGTCTGAATTAATCTTTATTTCCACACAGTGGTGATTAACTTTCTCTGAACTAGAAAAATGTTACCCTGTGAAAAAAAGAGACAAAGTGCACAAGGGCCGTGGCTTTTGATTAACCTACAATTTTTTTTTAAGATTTTATTTATTTATTTTTAGAGAGGGAAGGGAGGGAGGGAGAGAGAGAGAGAGAGAGAGAGAGAGAGAGAGAGAGAGAGAGAGAGAAATATCAATGTGCGGTTGCTGGGGGTTATGGCCTGCAACCCAGGCATGTACCCTGGCTGGGAATTGAACCTGGGACACTTTGGTTCCCAGCCCGTGCTCAATCCACAGAGCTACGCCAGCCAGGATTAACCTACAAAATTTGATGAGCTCTCTGAGTATTGTATGTTCAGGGTTGTTTTTGGGTTTTTTTTTCATCTTAGAAAGGGCATACGGTATGAAAACAGAGACAAAAACATTCCAAAGCCCAGGATTGTTTATCAAAGATAGTGAGGTTGTTTTTCTCTGGCTAGGAATGGAAAAAAAAGATCGCAATGATGCCTCATGATACTTTACTTCCACAGCCTTGAGCTTCTTAGAATGCCAGTTTATAATTCATGTCAGTCAATTCAGTTTTATGGAATTATCAAATATTCATGAGCCATGAGAAATGCAGAATTGAACCAGTCCCTGCCCTCCAGGAATTAAGGTTTGTAGGATAGAAAAGTGAAGTCATGTTAGCAATAGATGCTTGTATGAATGTGAACAAAATGCTATGGGAACACAGGAGAACGAGAAGATAGAAAGTTAGTAGATTGGACAAGTTTAAAACAAAGAAAAATCTATAATAAAAACCAAAAAATTTCTCAAAGGAGGTGATATTGAGATAGGCCTGTAACAATGGCTAATATGTTTCAAGGTAAAAAGGGGGAAAGCACACAGTATTGAAGTTAAGGAAATAGTGTGCAAACAAATACACACAAAGAACAGAGGTAGGACCTGGCCCACTTGCACAGACTAGCTGGCAGAATGGCCTAAAGGAAGACGGGGCAGGGACATTAGTGTTGATACATCTGGAAAGCCCAAATTAGGTTCAGATCTTACAGATTCAAGAGTTTAGATTCTCTGACATAGGCACTGGGGTGTAAATGAAGATTTTAATGTGGACATGTGTAAATGACAGGGAGAAGAAGGACAATGGAATGTAGAAACATTCAATGACAGTGAGTTTTAGATGTGTTTATGCTTATTAATCATGGGCTGTTGGCCTGGGTCCAGCAACCAGGCTTATTTTTTTTCTTATAGCTGTCTTAATAAAAAGATAAATGAGTTCATTTTACTAATATCAGAATATGGAACAAATTATGTTAAAATCTTATAGTATGCTTGATTTTACATGCATACACACCAATCTGGTTCCCCTTTATCTCCTGCTGTGCCTTTCGTGAGTTATTTCCAATAGCTCAAACACATGGAGAGAAAAGGTACCATATGAAGGCCTAAATGATGTTTCTAAAGTTTGTGGGACGTTTGGCACCAACCCTGGCCTCTACCCACTAGATGCCAGTAGCACACCTCCCCCATTTGTGACAACCAAAAATGTCCCCAGGCGTTGCCAAAATGTCTTCTGGAAGAAAAAATCCACCCCCATTGAGAACCAATGAGTTAAAATATAGTTATTTTTCACAATAGACAAAATTCTTTATCTTGTCATGCATCTTAACACTGACAATTTAGAGAGAATAGAATAATTTTTTATCTATTAATTATACTGAAAATATTAGACTAATTACTATAAACAGCTTGATATTGTTTATTTTATAGAATATCAGTTTCATTTCCGTTTAAATGAGGAATAATCACATTTATTTAAAATTCTACAACCTCTATTTTAGAAAATACTGTAAATGAGTAGAACCATTAGTTTACAAAGTTCAAGGTTATAAAATCTTATAAAATTTACATGTTCAGCTATTAAAGGTGTGATTTCTTTTAATGTCACGGCTAGATACAGTTCTCAAAACCCAATAAAAATGTACAGAGTAGCCCTGGCTGACGTAGCTCAGTGGATTGAGCGCAGGCTGCGAACCGAAGTGTCGCTGATTCGATTCCCAGTCAGGCCACATACCTGGGTTGCAGGCCATGGCCCCCAGCAACCGCACATTGATGTTTCTCTCTCTCTCTCTCTCTTTCTCCCTCCCTTCCCTCTCTAAAAATAAATAAAATCTTTACAGAAATTTACAGAGTAAAGTTATATTTGAAATGGTTTCACAGTTTACTAGTTTTAAGTGTTACAGGTTTATGAAATACCTGTATGTGACAATAAAACAACAATCAGGGTCAAGATTTAAAAGCAATACTGGTTCTTTCTGCCTCTTGTTTTATTGAAGGCACTAGATGGAGTGTGCATATCCCCACGTGCTTTTACAGCTCTGATGAACTTTAAAAAGACATCTCGCATCAATCAAAAGAACAACTCACATGTTTTCATGTGATCTCACATTAGCCCTCCAGAGCAGTAGATCAATAGTTATGTACCAACAAACTGCTTTTTAATACTGTTGTGGAGTATGTAAAAACATGGAAAAATCAATTTTCTTTTCCTGTCTCAGGAGACTCAATGCCTTTTGTATTGCTCAGGGCAACAATAATCTCAACCCTTTATTTACATTCTCTCAGCTAGGAACAGAAGTCAATAGTAACATACTCAGAATGATTGAAACTGCTTTGTTTGTCATCATTACCACGGCTACTAATAAGTTATTAGGCGCCCATATGTGGAGTTGCTGAAATGAGCCTTGTATGAAACAAGTTTGATATGAATTCTCTGGAGGTTTAATACTTAAAATTGTGCATGAAAATAAAGACTAAATTGATACAATATTTTGAAAAGTATAAGAAAGTAAAGATAGTATGTGAAGAGGCAAAAACAATAGTATCTAGTTCTGTGCTCCACCTATTTTATTGAGCTATCAAGTTCTTTGTTAAATCATTTTTAGCATGTGAAAAGTGATCCATACCTTGTAAGAGTCTTCATATTTTAAGTGAATGTCTTACTTTATAGTTATACTTTTTTCTCTTACTATTCACCTCACAGGACCTATAAAAATGATATTTTTAATCATTTCATTTTGGGCTTCTGTTTCTTTTGCGATTGTCAAATACATTTCCAAGCAAATACCTGAGTACAGAAAAATTAAAACCGTAATTATAGACCTTTTAGAAAAGAAGAATGAGATCACTGTACATGTATACTTCTTTTTAAAAAAGATTTTGTTTATTTACTTTTAGAGAGAGGGGAAGGGAGGGAAATACAGAGGGAGAGAAACATCAATGTGTGATTGCCTCTTGAGCACCCCCTACTGGGGACTGGCCTGCAACCCAGACATGTGCCCTGACTGGGAATTCAAACTGTGAACTTCTGGTTTGCAGACTGGCAGTCAATCCGCAGAGCCACACCAGCCAGGGCACATCTGTACTTCTTATGTCATGTGCCGGAAGAGTATTCCAAGGAAAATTTATAATAGTCACAGATATTTTCATTACTAACTGAGAAACATTAAAAATAAGTAAGCCAATTAGCCAGTTCAAGAGTTATAAAAAGAACAAGAAAGTCTCTGTACTGACAACAGGGGTAAGGATTTAATAAATGTAAATAAGATTGATGATTCACAAAGCAGTAAAAAAAATTGAAAATTTAATTCAAGATGTTGTTCTATTATTAAACAACAACACTAGATGAACCTCTGGCAAGATAATGGAAAATGAGAAATAATGTACACACCAGAAAATATAAAGGGGATATAAGCTATGAATGTAGATATTTTGTGGAAAATATATAAAGTCCACAAGAATAGTTGAAAACCTTAATGAAATGAATGGTTTTCTTGGAAATTGTCAATAGCCAAAAAGGACTCAGAAAGAAATATGAAACCTGCAATAAATGACAATATAAGAAATGAAAATTTTGAAAGAACTTTTCCTCCAAAATGTGTATGGTCCACATTCTTCAACTCTGAGTTTTGTGTTTTTTCTGCATTTTTAAGTATTCGTAAATGTAGACAATGTTAGAAATCTTTCTATAACATTTTCAAGATGGTAATATAAAAGCAGGAAAAAAATAAACTTCAAGAATCTGCACTTGCCCTGGCTGGTGTGGCTCAGTGAATTAAGCGCCAGCTTGCGAACCAAAGGGTCTCAGTTCGATTCCCAGTCAGGGCACATGCCTGGGTTGCAGGCCAAGTCCCCAGTAGGGGGTGTGTGAGAGGCAACCACACATTGACGTTTTTCTCTCTCTCCTCTTCCCTTCTGTCTAAAAATAAATAAATAAAATATTAAAAAAGAGGAATCAGCTCTTGAAAAGGACCTACATGATATTCTTCTATGAAAATAGATCTAAAAACCTAAGGAAGAATGCAGCAATTAAGTATTGAAGTATGTTAAAAATCATCAAAATGAGTATTTCTAATGGAGAAATGTAAAGAAATTTATTAATGCAATACACCAAATGGTAAAAAGTCTAGGATCATGTTGAGATGCTGAAAAGACAGTTGATAAAATTCAACATCAATTATTGCTTAAAGAACTTTTCAGTAAACTAAAAGTAAGAGGAGACTTTAGCTTGCTTACAGCACATCCAATTTAGTGTGACTCACCGGATCCTGTGGAAGAGCAGCAATCCCATTACAGTCAGGAAGGCGACAAGGTCCCTGCTACTCCCATTACATCACCTGGTTCTGATAGTGCTGCTACAGTGAGTCAGAATGACATCAGGGTCACACAAGAAGATCCAAGGCTAAGGAAGGTGTGTTTCAACTATTTAAATAGATTCACATTGGTCATCTGTGCTGGTGACATTATGGGTGTTTTGTACTTTTCTGTTTTGCTTCTTTGTATTTTCTATACAGAACTTCTGTTGCTCTTTTTAGATTGTTTTTAAAAATGAGACAGCAAACATGGAAAAATCATTACTGAAAAGGCACAAGGTTTTCTTCTCTTTTCAAATGAATGGCTTACACTATAATTCAACATTTCACTGTCTTCGATCCTAGTCACATAGGTGATTAAGTAAAAGCAAAAGGGAGACATTTGATACTTTTGTGAAGTTTAAGGCTAAAGGAAAGCTGATTCAGGTTTCTGTCTCTAACATGGCTTTGTTCCTTGATGCCAATAATCTGTTTTGTTACCGCCTATCTACTGGCTTTCCTTCCTGTGATGACTTCATCTTGTCTAACAAGGTAATTTCATCTAGTCTGACTTTGTTTGCAGGGATTTGTTATGTGAGCTCTTCCTTCTAGGAAATTTCCTTTTTACCTAATAGTGAAATTTCTAGAGGGGGTTCAAGCGCCAACTGTTCCACTCCTCCCATTGCCACCAATGGGCTAACTGGGCTGCCTCTCCCTCTGGCACGACTTTTCCCGACTTTGCGCGCTTGCCACCAAGGTGAAGGAGATGTGGGGAAGCTTCCTCAGGTGGTGGTAGTGAACAGAAGTGGGCCCTCTGTGGTAAAATAGCACCCTGACTAGGAGGGGGAAATGATGTGACTGTCAAAGTGTGGCAGAACTATCGCTGCTGACATTTTTCTCATCGTGCTTTAAAGCTCCAAATTTTCTATTTAGCACCAGGGTCACCCAACCTAATTTTTGCACTCACAGTTTTCAAGCGCCCATCGCAACTTGGGGGCCAAATCCGTGAGGAGGCAGCATGGTAGGGAAAATGAACTAAAGAGGAAAGCTCCGACGTCAACCCACTATGGGGGCTTCTCTTGGCCTCTAGAGGGTGTGCCTACTAGGGAAAGATTCTTTTTCACTCTTTATGTTACTCATGCATCTTTGAGGCTTGGCTGCAATTTTAAGTTTTACCAGTGATGACCCGAGACGTAGTGTGACTCAGCGTGGTGGAGAGAGGGTCCAAGTAACACCTATTCCACTCCTCCCATGGCCACCAATGCCTGGAGCAGCAGCTCCTTGATTTCCTCATTGTACGGTAATGATAACAACAGCACCTGTGAGTTGCTCTTTGGAGGATTACAGAAAGAACCCAGCAGGCCTAGTTCATGGTAGGTAGGTAACTCTTAATTACTGCTCCATAGCATCACTGACTAATGTGCTCACTAGCCACATGCGGCTACTTGAATTAATCCAAAAATCCCATTTCACAGTAGCACTAGCCCCATTGCAAGAGCTCAACAGCCACCATGTCTACCGGCTACCCTCTGGCATAGTGCAGCTATGGAACATTTCCATCACCAGAGAATGTCCCGTTGGACAGCACTGCTCCATATCATCAGCTGTGATGTTACACAACTGCCACACCTCAGGGCTGACCAGAACCATTCCCTATGGATTGGAAGCTCTGCTAGGTTGCTTATCTGTAGAAGAGTGTGTCGGGTAAGGCCATTCTTGCAAGGCCTTTGTTCACCACACATAGAAAGGAGTGATCTTAGCTTGCCAAATTAAGAGAGCTTATCTGTCAGCCAGATACTTTTCAGGCCTGAAAAGATGGAGAGTTTGTGCCAAGGAAAACTTCCAGAGAGGACTCAGTTCTTTTCACCTTACACTGAACCAGACAAGAAGGGGGGCGGGGGCGGATTCAGCCTTTGAGTCAGCAGAGGAGACATTCTTTCAAGGGACAACTAACCTGTTTTTCAAGCAGGTTTTTGTAAATAACTGACGGGAGATGGGCTGCTTCTATCCAAGTATTAACCCAAGCAGTGGGGGTTAATCATTAAACCTTCTAGCTGGTGGCTTGGTTTTTTTCCCCGATGTTCTAATCCGGATCACAGAATGGCTAAGGCAGCTTTAAGTGGAGGGTGGGTTATTTTTCCCTTGGTTTGCCTGGTGGTTGCCTCTCTGAAAGAATGTTGTGGCTGCTCTTGTTTCTGGTGACTGCTATTCATGCTGAACTCTGTCAACCAGGTATGTAGCCTTGAAACTGAAAAAATAGATTAGTAGTTTTTTAATGTTTGATAAGTCTTTAACTGAAAGGCTTCTTTATTTTTTCCAAATCCGTAGGTGTGTTGTGGCTTAAAAGTTGAGTCTGTGATTGTTTTATGAATTTGAAAGAAAACTTTAACCACCTAAGGTGATTGCAGTTAAGCTTTCAGGAATTTGGGGGGCAGAATAATTGCAGTTATGTGTTTTGTTGATTTGATTTGCATTAAATATTAGGATTTATTAGACCCTGTTTTGGCAGATTTTGTCATATACTGCTCTTTTTTCTTCCTGGCAGATGCAAAAAATGCTTTTAAAGTGAGACTTAGTATCAAAACAGCTCTGGGAGATAAAGCAGTAAGTGGAGATCCTGCATGTTCATTTTAAATTTTGTTTACTAATAACGCTGTGCTTTGTGTAATTATAACTCTCTCTGCATAGTTACCTTGACGTTATATAGATTGCTTCTAAAGACCTCACATCTGATATTTTCTTAAAGTAAAAAGTTGTAGTTAAAATAGAAATCGTTAATAAAATGATTTTGCCCAAAATATTGTATCTACAGTGTACGCTAGAAAATGGGAAGTGTTGTATTACACAGAACAATTCTGCACCCTTGAACATTTCAGCCCTGCAGAGCAGAGCAGAGGGGCCTGAGTCAGGCGGTCAGGTCTGGCCTGGGCTGTGCGCCTCACCACTGTGGCCACTGGAATGGTGTTAGCCCCACTTTTGCAGTCATCGAAAAGAGGTCGTATCACACCCACGTGAGATCTTTCATAGCACAAAATTGTCAAATTCTAACATGAAGTTTCTTTAATTCTTCTTAAATATCAAAATAACATGAGCCCTGGCCAGGTGGCTCACTTGGTTGGAGTGTTGTCCTGTACACCAAGAGGTTGTGGGTTTGATTCCCAGTCAGGGCACGCACGGGATGCAATCTGTGGGTATTTCTCTTTCACATTGATGATTCTCTTTCTCTACCCCTTCCTCTCCATCTAAAATCAATAAAGATAGCTTGGGTAGGGGTTAAAAATAGCAATATGAAATATAAGCTTATGAAATTGAAATAAAAAAATACTCATGGAGCTCATATTGTTATAGGAACAGGACAGTGTGTCAAATTAATAAGAAGATATTTTGTAATTCTAGTTTCAGTTTTCCAGTCTGTGAAAAGCTTCCCCAATAGAGTGTGTTATTAAGATGCGCCAGGCTACAAACAGTAAAGGAGCACTAAAGAAACTTAGAGGTATTCTGTTTGGAGGCCAGTCTACCAATGTCTGATTTTATTCACTCAATGAGTGATAATTATTATGTTAGCCAACACTTATTGAGAACCTACATTATTTTCTAGCTGGGCCCCTTCCAAGCATTTTGCTCAACCAGCTCATTTAACCCTCACAACAGCCCTTTCCGAAGGTAGTTCAGGTATTCCTGTTCTCATCAGATGGATGAGAGTACAAAGAAATGAAGTGACCTGCTCAAGATCTCAAGTTGGCAAGTGGCAGAGGTGAGATTTGAACCTGGTCCGGCTGTAGAACCCAGTCTCTCTACCAGTGTACAGGGTTGGTTATCCCAGGACCCTCTGAGAGCAGGCACCAAGCTGGATTTTGGGGATGCAGAGCAACTTAAAATCAGGCTTGTCCTTGCCATTGTGGAGCTTATAGTAGTGGGAGAGTTGGTCGTGCAGTAAATATTTAGTGAACCAAATGCAAGTGTGCAGTGTGGACGAGTATTACAGGAAAGAGAAGTGCAAGGGGGCTTTGGCCTTGTCAGGGGCTTCAGTACGTGGTGTTTACCGTGAGGTCTGAAGCATAAGAAGGAGTGAACTAAGCATTAAAAGAAAAAAAGGCAGAAGGAACAGAACGTTCAAAGAGTTATTACATGAAGGATCTTGGCCAGAGCGGGGGTGGAGGGAACACTGAGGTATCTGGAACTGGAGCAGTGAGGAGGAACGGGGCACACAATGAGTTCAGAGAGAAAGGAGGGGTCAGGCCAAAGAATACGTGGACGGTGTCGCGGGGGGTGGGGGTTGGTATTGTCTTTAAAGCAAGTGGGGGTTTTGCAGGAGAGATGTCATGGCAGAACTAGTGTTGGAATACAGTTTAACTGCAGTGCAAGACAGACCGGAGGGTAAGGAGAGTAGAAAGGAGGCGGCAGTTAGAAGGCGATAGGACTAGTGTAGGTGAGAGGTGACGTCCATTTGAAATACGGTGTGTTGGCGGACAGAGGTAGTAAAGGGAGTCAACGGCAACAGGAATGGTATGACAAGGAAGGGACGAGGGGTCAAGGATGAAGCTTTTGTTTCTAATTCTGCAGCTGGATGGGTGATGTCCTATTTATGAGTCAGGCAACCAGGTACAGATAAGAACAGACTTCAATTTGGGGCTTGTATCTGAGCCGTTATTGACAAAGAGGCAAGGATAGAGCTGGCTTAAGATATACATTCCTGAGTCATTTGTTCGAAGGTGATAATGGAAGGCTTGAGCAAATAACAGCACCGAGGGGAAAATCCAGAGTGCCAAGAGGAGGGGGCCTAGCAGAGAGCTTAGAGTTTCCCCAAAACTTGCAGCCCTTGCAGAAGAGGGTGAGCCTGCCTACAAGTGGGGCAGGGGCAGGAAGAAACCCAGGGAACTCTTGTATCACAGCAGGGAAGAGAGTGCTTCAGGACGAAGGGGGTTTTCAGGAGTGGCAAATGCTGTTGAGAGGCCCAGCAAGATGAGACTGAAGCGTGCTCACTGTGTTAAGCAACGCGGAGGTCGCTGGTGACTCTAGAGAGAGCCGTTTCTGTAGAATGGCAGAACCGCAAGGCAGATAGCGAAGCGGGTTAAGAAGAAGTGGGTGGTGAACATAGGAGGATAGAAGTATGGACAAGTCCTTTGAGAATTTTGGCTGTGGAGGGCCAGAGAGAGCCAGAAGTAGGCAGAAGAAGGAGGGCTGAGTAAAGTGATTTGGTTTTGCTGTCATTTTAGTGGGAAAGACTTGAGTGGCTAAAAGTCGATGGACAGGTTCAAGTTAGCATTGAACAGCAGGGCGGTCGAAACTGATATTGTTGGGATCCTGAGAAGGGCAGACGGAAGTCTTCCTAATGGAGGTGGGTAGAACAGCCATTGTCAGGGCGGGAGAGACCACAGCTGGCCCTTCAGCGAAGGGCGTAGAATGATTGTGTGTCTGTGTTTTGTATTTGGTGACAGGAGGATGGCGGAGTGTGAATTCATGACTGGAGATGTATCTATAAATTATGAAACAAGAGCATCTCATGAGAGTGAGATGTGAGGGAAAGCACTGAGATTCAGGGGGCCTGGAGGGGCCTTGCAATAGTCATTGTGAACCATGAGAGACAGAGAAAACTGATGGAGAAACCTAAGGGATTCTCAGGCAATTTGAAAGTCGGTCATCATGAATTTAGAGTTAAACCAACAAACCCTGTTTTGTGACTTTCTCCAGTAATACTTGATCACTCACTTATAATGTGAGGTCAGCCATGTTACTTTACTAGTGACCACAGAGTGGGTCACTGAAGCAACAGCAGTTTATTTTCTCTCAGTTCTGGCGGCTAGAAATCCAAGATGGGGCAGGGTAGGGGGAGGTGGTCAACAGTGTTGGCTCCTCCTGAGTTCCCAAGGGAAGGATCTGTTCCAGGCCTCTCTCCTTGGCTTGTACATGGTTGTCTTCTCCCTGTGTCTTCACATGTCTTCTCTCAGTGTGTGTGTCCATATCCAAGTTTCATCTTCTTATAAGTACACAAGTCATATTGGACTAGGGCCCACCCTATTGATCTCATATTAATGTAATCACTTCCATAACAACAGTGTCTCCAAATATGATTACATCCTGAAGTGCTGGGATAAGACTTCAGCATATAAATATTGGGGAGGGGTGTATTTCAGCCCATAACATGCACATACACTCAAGTTTCCAGCTAAGACAATACAAAGAAAAATTGTACTGCTGTTAATAAAGGGAAGGAAGCTGAGAGGGGGAATCAGATTCTGAGGGAAGGGAGAAAGGAAGGACGGGAACTGACTGTATTTGTCCGGGAGGAGATGTCCAAGTGTGCTGTTCACGACTGGCTGCTAATACTGCAGATTCTGAAGAAGGTGGTGCAAAGGGAAGCATAACCATACTCGGAAAGATAGCCTATCCAAGAAACTATCCTGAACATTATGCATCATGGAGACATAATTCATCATAGTCTCCATTCTGCAATGCATGAGAAGGATGAGAGAGAGAGAGAGACAGAGAGAGAGACAGAGAGAGAGAGAACAAACTATGGCCACAACGAGAACCCAATGCATCATTTTTACCTCATGGCTCTTCACTTTACATTTTCTGTTTTACTTCTCTTTCAGTATGTCTGGGATGCAAATGAAGAATATCTCTTCAAAGCAATGATAGCTTTCTCCATGAGAAAAGTTCCCAACAGAGGAACTACAGAGTAAGTAAACAGTGAAAAATCTTAATGGACAATTTGCAGTATTATTTGAGATAGTGCAATAATTTAAAACATGACCTTGAAAATAACTTATTAATCTAATTTTAAGGAATCTACATTTTTGTTTCACATTTTAAAAATACTTGTGTCATCTAGCTCCGTTTACAGTTTATATCATGTTTTAACAATGTTCTTCAGTGGACACTATGAAAATGAATATTAAAACAATGTAGTCATATGTCATAAGCTTTCTACATTTCTGTTGTATACATATATCTTTTGCTGATGAATAGATAGATAGGATGGGTAAGAACTCTACTATCATTGTATCGGTCAGCTTGGGCTGCTGTAGCACAATATCACAGACCGGGTGGCTTAAACAACAAGTTTATTCCTCGCAGTTCTGGATGCTGGGAAGTCCAAGATCAAGCTGCTACTAAGGTAGGTTTCATTGTGAGGGCTCTTCTTTTGGCTTGCGGGTGCCGCCAGATCATTGTGTGGTCGTGTGAGCTCTCCTTCATTAAGGGAGAAGTGGAGGGGGACAGAGTGACTTCTCTGGTGTCTCTTCTTATGAAGATACTAATCCTATATTATCAGGGCTCCACCTTATGCCCTAATTTAGCCATAATTACCTCCCACAGGCCCTGTCTCTAAATACAGTCACATTGGGGCTTAGGGCTTCAAGATATGAATTTGGAGGGAAGGGGACAAATGAGTCCATAGCACTCATGTTGAAAATAACTTAAATATGTATAGGTTTGTCCCATTGTTGGTATTTGTCATAGCACCTTGTTTGTTTTCTTCAAAGCTTTAGCACAGTTTTTAATAGTTTTGCATTTTTATCTATTCTTCCAGAGGAATTTTCTCTACTTGTGATGGTTATTCCCATCTCTACCTGTGATTAGGGTAGTGCTCCTGGTTTCTCTCTCCTCCATCCCTCACTCTTCCCCTTGAGAGGTAAAATGACTGATCTGATTGGCGGACTGGAAGGAAAGGTTGGGCATAGGTTCCCTTCTCTTTCAGAGCCATTCTGCCTTCGGATTGCAGCCATTTTTCTGTGCTGCTCCCCACAGCAAGTATCGGATCTGGCCCTGCACGGGCGTGCACACACACCTGAAAGGCTGTGTGTGCTGGTTACAGCCGAGGACTGTTTAGATTAGTAGGTGCACATCAGAGTATCTTTCATACTACTGCAGTATGAGGCCATGCTGGCCTCAGTTCCGTTCCACATGGGACACTGTAGAGGAACTGATCCCATTTCAGGATTTTTTAAAAATTAGAAAGGAAATTTGTTTGCTTATTAAAGTCATATTCTGCAGCCCAGCCTTCATTCTTTTGTCTTAATTTCATCATGCTTTGGAAGCTGGCAAAGAGGATTGCTATTTACTGGTCTCCCTCAAACCCACAACATATGGTGCATGGGCTGTGACTATAAGTAATAAAGAAGTAAGAAGAGTGGAATTTGGAGGAGCAAAGCAAACATACAGTCCATATATTTGTGTGTGCACATGTATATATACACATATATATCTTTCACAAATAGGTAATATATTCACATGACTCAAAAAAATAAAAATAATGAGGTCTATAATAAAATAAAGTTATGCCCTAAGTGAGCTCTACTTCTATTTTATAGATATTTTAGAAAAAATATATTTACTTTTATCTTACACATTCTTTCCACAACTATTTGTAATATTTTTTCAATAAAAATTAGATAATTAGCGTTACAAAAAATTCTAAATAAAAAATATTAGAAAGCGAGTGGTCATCTCACAGTGCTGATCCCTCAACTAGTCTCTTTCATCTTCTAGCCATTCTGATCAGCAGGCTTTATCGGTTGTTGTGTTCATTGTGCAGTTATTTCCCCCAAGTGCCTACATTTCACCTTGTAAGTGACTATGTTAAATCAGGTGGTTCCATTCTTAGGAAAAGTTCATTTAAACATTTCACATTAATTTTGACAAATTCATTTTGGAAAAAATTTTTCTTCAGAATCTGGAGCATTGCAGGAGTCTGGGGATATCCGACCTGGTTTACTTACAAAAACATTTTCCTTGGAATTGGGTGCAGAAGCTACATAGAGGGTTTTGTTGCCAAAATCAGGGGAAAGAATCAACAAGTGCAGAACTGGGTCAGAGTCAACAAACTTTTTTTCTGTAAAGGCTGAGGCAGGATGAGCCCCAGCCACACTGCTGTCAGGGGCTGAGTGATGGAGCCCGCTTAATGAATCGGGATGTGTTTACAATGCAGTTCAAATACTGGGCCTACTTCTACAAGCACTGCCATAAAAAAGGCTGCATCTCTACACACAGAGGCTTCCCCTGCAGGAAAGGGCATCACAAAATGCCAGATGGGGTTACAGACAACTTTGCAGAGAGGCGGCCGTGTCCAGTGTGGTAGGTGGATGGGAGACACCAGTAGCTTGGCAGCTTGGACAGGTTTTAAAGCTTCTGCCTCCCAGAGGTCTTTAGGTGCCAGTGTGAGGCAGAATGAATTCTGGAGGGTGGGAAATATCCCTTTCTGGGATGGCCTCAGGGATTCCCATCTGGAACATATCCTGTCTATTGTTTTGTCTACCCCACTATTGCTTATTCTATGAATGTTACAGAAAACCTGACGATCCCGAGATGCACTGAATCGAAAATGTAAGATGGACTCACTAAAGATAGTCAAGAAATAAACAGAATAATGAATACTCTCATTTTTATCCCACCTTTTGTCTGGTCCTTACTACAGTATCTCTTGTATTGAGCTTGATCACCCTCAGTGACAGAGAGCTCAGTATCTCCTGAGGATGTCCTCGCATATGTGGAAACTTACAATTGGTGTATTCTTGATCCAGTGTAACTGTGACTGATGGTCAAGGAGAAGAGCCTCTCTGAAGAGAGCTGAACTGGTTCAGTCACCACTACCCCAAGCAGGCAGTGCAAGAGGAGGCTGGAGGGTCGGGCAGGCAGAGGGTGTGGGCTGGCAGAGAGGCTGTGGCGTTTACCCCCTTGCCCATAGCACAGGGGCAGGGAGGGGTTCTGGTGCATAGACACCATGCAGCCAGGCAGGGTGCTTACAGTTGGGTCCATGCAGATGAGTTGGTGCCCACGCCACAGCACAGGTTGCATATAAGACTGACAGCCTTGCTCTTTTCCCTGCCAGCCTGAAGTCAGGCAGAGGACCACTCACAGAGAGTAGTATTGTCTGCGAGGGGACAGACTGACATCTTATCTCCTTATTGGATCCTTCCCAACTTGCAGACATTGTCAGCACACTTCAAGCTGCCACCAGAGTAGCAGCACTACTCTAAGCCAGACCAGTCTAAAGGTGCAAGGCTGGCTTCAGCCTCCTGGGATTGGGGCGAGAGGGGGCAGCTTTGTAAGCAGTCTGCACTTAAGGTGTTCCTGGGGCCAAGTGGAGGCTGCTGAGGGGGCTGGGTGGAGTCACTGCCTGCTGGGGCCGAGAACCAACTGCAGGGCAGAGAGAAGCTGGTAGAGCCAGGCTGGAAGTCACCTTGGAGGCAGAGCAGAAGGTGAGATGGGGCAGATTGGCCAGAGTGCCTCGCCCATGTCAGGGGAAGATGCAGTGCAGAGGTCCCCAACAAGTCCCCAAAGGCCCCACAGGCACAGTCTGGATGGAGAACAGGAGGGCGCCCACCAAGTCAGAGGATAGAACAGCGAGAGGGGCCACACTGAGCCCTGGCTAGAAAAAGAACTTCGCCTTTTTCTTCTCTGATGCCCACCCTGTCCATCTCCATTTCCCTTTTCCATCCGTAAATGAGCAAGAACGAGGAGGGTGGTGGTGAGGGGCGATGCGCAGGAGGACGTGGAGCACAGGGAGTAAAAGAATGGAGCAGACCCTCAGGCCAGCACCCTGAAGAGAAGCTGTGCGTCAGAGGCAGGAAGACAGCTTTGATCTGACTTTTGATCGGACTGATCTGAACTTTTGAATAGGCAGAAGTGACAGGAAAGCTCCCCGGCTGCACCAGATGCCGTCAAGGAATGGCGGGACAAGCGCTGACACAGCGCCCGAAGGCACTGGTGAGAGAAACGGGGAGCCTTTTCTTGACTGCGGTCTACTGAGGCCTGCCTATTCGACTGCATTGCTGTGGTTGTGGCCACAGAATTCAGTGACGTTTACTGAAAGCCTGCTATGTGCCGGGCCCTGAGATTTAAATGATGGGTAAAAGCAATGTGCCACACAGCGCAGGGCCCACACCCAAGAAGCTGGCCCTGGTAGGAATTAGAGGAGGATGGACTAAATGTGGTTTTTACAAATCTTCATATCAAGTGGTTTTCACGCTACTTTTGGAAATCCGTAAAAGCAGAATGGAAGATGGATAAAAAACATTTAAATGATAGAAAGTTTTGGTTTCATTATGTCAGGTTACTTGAAATTGGAACTTCAATTGAAAGCAGCAACCATATGTTTTGAAGATTTTAGAATAAGATTTAGGCCATGTGGTTTTCATTTGCATCTCTCTGATAGCTAGTGATACTGAGCATCTTTCCATTTGTCTCTGGATTCTCTGTATATCCTCCTTGGAGAAGCGTCTCTCACCTTTAATAGGAACCTAATCAACAAAACAAACAAACAAGCAAAATATAACCACAGACACTGAGATTGAGAACAGGCTGACAGTGACCAGAGGGGAGAGGGGAGGGAATTTCAGGGGAAAAGGGGTAAGGTTTGTAGGAACAGTTATAAAGGACACACGGACAATAATGGAGTGGGGGTGGGAAGGGGACGGAGGGGGGAGGGCTGGGGGGAGCGTTGGGATGGGGGTAAAAGGCAGAAAACTGTACTTGAACAACAATTAAAATAAAAATAAATAAAAAAATATTTAGGCCATGTTTACTAAAATAGCTTCCCAGGAATTTTAAAATGTTGAAAGTCATTTCTATGGAAAATATAAGTTTAAATTTTAGTGTATTTCACAGATAAACTGGGAAATTTATCTGCCTGATTTACTCAAATATTATAAGAAAATCCATCATTTTTTAGCAAGAGAG